TAGCCGTCGAGACTGCATACGTTGTTATCCGCATTGTCAAACATGTGCTGTATGAATGCGTCGTTCTCGATTTTCTTATCATAACTCATTATCGCTGAAGCTTCGTATAAGCTCAGATTAGTGTAGGATGTACTAAATCCAAGCTTATTTAATACGTTAATTATTAGCCGCGAATCGAATTTTCTACTCAAATAAACACCGGTTGCTAATTGAATCGAGGAAATGAATGACCTCGGACGAATAGCGGATATGATGGAATGTGCGATACTATTGCGTTTTGCTGTTAATTTCGTTTCTCGAGTTTTTTTCCCCTTCAACAAGATATCATCCAAGAAAGTGAGTAGAGTATCCGGAATATCGGCCTCGACGTTTTGAAGTAAGTCTTCAGGGGCTGGATAAGATGATGTTTCGTATGCCTGGCTCCTGATGTCTTCGCGTATGATGGCAGCAGCAGCACGAACTATGCGGAGTCTTTCGTCTTGGTCGATGCTCTTCTTCTTGTTCCAGAAGTTTTCGAAAATTTTATAACCCGTATTGCGGAAGCATATAACCGTCGGTTTCGGTGGTCGCTCCAACATAAAGATTTCAGATCCGTATCTGTTGACAAGCTTCTGCTTCAGAGTGATTGTCGTTGTTGTCCACCCTTCCATTTTATCCAGTAACTCCTTGAAGGTAAATTGACAATCGTCGCTTTCCTCCATGTAGTGACAAACGCCTTCGAAACCAGCGTCTAAACCCGGATATCTCGAGCGCTTCTCTGTACTATTTTTACGTGGACGCGTGAATTGATCCCAACAAGAATTGTGATAACGAGCGTGTTCCTCCATTAAACATTTCCCCTCGATTTTGCTTTTTACCTTTTCAGCCCACTCATCGCCGCGAAGTTCGATACAATTTTCAATCCGTTGCTGTGCTTTTGGCGTACATACCAATTTACCAGGTTTATCTTTAGGAACCCAGGCTTTAGAACACAGGAAGCAATGAACCTCGAAGAAGAATGGTGGCTCAGGGGGTAGCTCAGGAGCTGCTGATTCTGCTACATCACTCGCCTTCTTATTGGACACACTGTAATTCACTCGACATTGATCGTGAACTGTCACTTCTGTCAAATTGTCTAAATACTTCCACTTATCGTCTTTCTTCAATTTGCTTCTAGCAATGAAAGTATTGATGGCTTTCTGTTTCACGACTCTTGTTTGGCCGCCACTGTCTAGTCTCTGATCACAAATGAAACAATACGATGGATGAGACATATTTGTTTGCGATGAAATTATCTCTACACAAGTCCAAACACTTCGGCCTTCCAACTACGAATGACCCAGGAATGTGAAATATTTCGAGATTTCCCCCTATAGAAAGTTCCCTTGTACAATAGCAAGACCTACGGTCCAGGCAGCTGCAAGGACACCTGCTCTTCCAAATACTAGTGGAGGGGCACAGGTAGAGGAAACAGGATATTTAGTTCGATCTCACAGTTCAGTGTTCACTATCCACAACTTCAACTTTGCACATTCACTCTAGCAATCTACTCGATGTTAACGGTTCCACTTCTTGAAGCGATATGACTTAACACTGCGGTTGGGGGGAGTTTATATGCCTTTCGGAACTCGGATGCCCGAAATATCGAGAATAGCTTCCTGAGAATAGAATTTCCCTGTATTGACTTTTGCTCGTCAGAAGAATTTTTCGTACCTGCTGAGGTATCTTGGCAGCTTTGTACCTCACAAGTATTCGCAATGGGGAGGAGCACTCACCAAGGGTCGGCACGTGCGACCCCCTCCTGAGCAGGGTCATCACTACCGTCACTAGGCCCTTCCTAAGTTAAAACTCATCCAACAGGATTTAGTCTTAATCCAGTTGTGAGTTGTTTCAATAAATAGAAATAGAAATACTCAATGGGCGTATTAGATATTTCACAGAAATTTCTAGTTATTGTTCTCGGAACGATCCGTAACATTCATCAACAGCTATTGCATTTAGGAATAACCAAACCATTCAATAAAGCCATCAGATTCCAAGAGTAATAGTTTCATTGATGAATCACGATGGACGCGAGCCATATTTTAACTAATATTATGCGATAAAAATTTACGGAAGCTTATGGAAAAGATTGTTGCGAAGTTAGGGAAGTATTCAGCATTCAGATAAGAAAAAGTATTGAGACTCGAAAGGTTCAGAGGGAAAAAGAGGAGAATAAAATGGAATTATATTATAATTCCGTTGCTGTGGATATTTGAATCTACTGCGCATCGCGCGCATCACGGGACTCGGGCCCAGGCGCCATGGGGCGTGGCGTCTCGATCAGCTGATCCGTTGATGCCCAATTCACAGAAATAACTTGAAAAAATAATAATAAATTAACCGTGCATTTTCACCCCTAACTTCCTAACTCAATTTCATAGTAGATTTTCTCCGCTACAATATGGTATTTTTACTTTTAGGATTGATTAAACGGGATTGAAGGCAGAAAGGATTGAAGGGGGTAAACGTTCATTGTGCCGAATTTTTCGATGGTTTTTAATTAATTATAAATTTTCCGGTGCATGTTGAGCTTAAACAAATTCAAACATTAATCAGGGGACCTTGGGCTGTTGATTGATATAGCTTTCATCCGATTCATTTTAATTTGCCATACACCATGTATCAAACATTTAGAATGACTGGACTATTAGTGGACTTAGCCGAAAACTCTCTATACCCCAACTTAATTATAATTATTCCAACAGTCTACAGAGTAACATCTATTCAGGAAGATATCCAAAGTATTCAAACAGTACTTGTATTCGTGTTTAAGTTGAAGTTATTACTTTCTTCAATCCGGAATCCAACGCGATTGTCTTGTCGATTTTTTTTTAGGAGTACATGGCGCCAAGCTTTCATAAAATTTTTAGAACGATTCGATTTTTTTCCAGCGAGTCATGTTTTTTCAAGAAATTTCATTTTTTCCACTTGAATTTTGAGACTTAAGGGTGCCAAGTGAATTTTACGATGACGTCGAAAATTGACATTCACCAACAAAGTTATAATTTTTTTAATTAATAGTATTAGACAGATGGTGAACATCGGTGACAATAATAAAATTTTTGAACTTATGGATATCGAGAAATTAAATAAACAAAATCAGTCTTATACACGGCCTCTTATGGAGTTTTGATTAAATTGAACGTTTCAACCCCCTAGGAACTCAAGAAAAATTTGAAAAAATTTGAAGATATGGGGAATGATGTATTCACTCTGATGGCGACAAAAATCAATGGGGTACCGGGGTGAATAAGAGAGATATTTCAACCCGCCGTACCCATTTGATCCCATGCTTTCTCGAGGTTCGTCACGCGAAATAGAGGATTTTCCGCATTTATTTTCTCGATGTCTAGTTCCGGTTGCGGATTTGAGATTTCGTCGGATGGATGAATACATATTTCTCCAATGATGGAGGGAAAGAAAAAAATTTTTTTTGAATCTTTTTTCAAATTTACTTGGCACCCTTAAGAATCCTGACTTATTTGATAATCAATTAATTTACGGCAGATTGCATTCTCTGATCATTTTGGAATTGTGAAAGTGTTGGTTTTTTGAATTGTTCAATGCTGTCGCTTCACATAAAATATTGAAACAACTTGTGGAGACAATTTTGTCCTCAACAGGAAATTCATATGAAGACGTAGGCCGATATGGCAACATCAAAATGGCTTCGAATGAAGTAGAACTCAAGTCTCTGCCGACTATCATTCCCACACTGAGAAAAAAATTGTTTTTGGCCAAGTATCCATTTACTTAACAGAAGTATTTATTTTTATTATAATGTATTTCTCGAGTCAAGTCATTCCCAGACAATCCTAATTAGGTTTCAATTATGACATTTTCAGCGCTCTACAAGATCATCATGTCAGTTATGACCTTGAATGAACTCCCTCAATAATTATCAACATTAAAAAATTAATCGAAATTCTTCCTTGTAGAAAATAAGCAGTTTAGGAAAAATAAATAATCATTGAGTGCATTCAAGGTCATATGTAACATAATCGTCCCCAGACCAACATGATTTTCTTAATTGAAACCTAATCAGGCTTACCTGGGAATGACTCGATTGGAAAAATACGTTATTGAAAAAAATAATACTTCTCTCAAGTTATTATACCCAGCATGGGGGGTACTTATAATTATAGTAGGTTCTGGACTTAAAGGGATAAATCCCACCAATGGTTTATCGGCATTTAAACATGAGAATTTATTACATGATTATAATTACTGTATCATCTGACTGATTACAAAGAGTTTACGACTTTTGTACGCGTCGGAGTCCAATTCAGGTCTGTTCTGGGCAGACCCAACCTTCTCTTAAATAATACATTGATTGTTTACATTTCATCACTTGGTCAGCATAATCCAGTTACGCTGGCAAGTGTCACGCTGACAATGTTGTATATCCACATATTAAACAATAACGCAATTGACCAAATTTGGGGCATAACATTCCTCCCCTTTTAAAATAAATTTTTTTTCATCAACGATAACAAAATTTTAACAATTGAAATTGAATTTCTCTCTCTAAATCAATTCACCAACAAGAACAAATTTTGAACAAATCTGGAATGCTCCTACTGGCAGTTTTAAGCTTTCATTACTTCCTGCAAAATTACGTGGTTTCGCAGTGCCTGATTCTTTCTTTCCCTCAAGAATCGCCTGATCGTCTGACAGTCCCAGTTTGTTCCTCAGCTTATTGTTGTAGGAGTGGTATAGTCAGTTGACGCAGGCGCGGTGAAGGGCAGTGACATGGAAGAGGGAGGTCGAGTACAAGCTTCGTGTATGCAGAGTTAATAAATATACATGATACTAAGTTAACCAGTGCTTATTAATTAACCTGACACAATAAACATATTACATGGCGCAGTCGGTGAAAAACCTATATATAAAAAAAATCAGATTGAACATGATAAACACGGAGAATAAGTGTCAAATAAGTGTGCCTTGAGAAGTCGTTACAAAAACGAACGTGAAAGATGGCCGCTACAACAGTGACACCAATACACCTAGAGGCACCGGAGCCATTATGCCTGGACGGAAATTTGGCTGAAAGGTGGAAGAAATGGATTAAAAAACTGGAGAGATACTTGGTAGCTACAGAATGTGCAGGAAAACCAGATGAAGTAAAAATAGCAATACTCTTACATTGCATTGGAGATGAAGCTAACGAGAAATATGAAACATTCGAGTTGACAGAGACCCAGAAAAAAGTGTATAAAACAGTGGTAGAGAAGTTCCAGGAATACTGTGTCCCAAAGAAAAATGAAACTATTATTAGGCATCTATTTTTTCAACGTAAGCAAAAAGACGGTGAGAAATTTAATGACTTTCTGACAGACTTACAAAAGCAAAGCAGTGAGTGTGAATTTGGTACTATAAGACAGAGTTTAATTAGAGATCAGATCATTTCGGAACTGAGGGACTTAAAATTGAAAGAGAGACTACTGAGAACAGAAGAGTTGGATATGAAAAAATGTATTAAGATGTGTAGAACGAGTGAAATGGCAGAAGAACAGTTGAAAACTTTACAAGAAGAAGTGACAGACATTGCAGTGGATTATGTTAAGACATACAATGGCAAAGAACGAGGTGGGGGACATTTCCCGTCGAGAACATCGCAGCAGAGAGGGCCACCACTGAGACAAACAGAACATAGAGATAGACCAGTCCAGCAGCAAGGAGAGCCATCTAGGGAGGGGGTGTGGAGCAGAAAACAACGAGGAGATCAACAGTCGGTAACAAGATGTGGTAATTATGGGTATCAACATGGGTATGGACGATGCCCAGCATATGGAGTTGAATGTTATAAATGTCAGGGAGTTAATCATTATGGTAAAATGTGTCGAAAGAGAGTAGAAATAAAGAAAATAAATGTAGAATCAGAGTCAGACAGCGATAGCGAAACACGGCAACCACACCTCCTTGGAATGATTAAAATAAATACTGTACAGTCGAGTCGTTGGAATGAGAAAATTAAATTAACACAATATGGCAGGGAAATTGATTTCAAGTTGGATACTGGTGCTGGTTGCAACGTGATGAGCTTCAAAAATCTACAGAATCTGGGAATCCGAGTACTGATAGAGCCAACAAGGCAAAGACTGAGTAATTATAATGGGAGTTCTATTGCCGTTTTGGGTAAAACTAAACTGAAGTGTGAGATTAGAGATAAAGAGTATGAAGTACCTTTTTATATTGTTAGAGGTGAGGCAATATCGGTAATCGGAGATCCGACAATCAGTACGTTGAATTTAATTGCAAAAGTGAATGTTATAAAAACACCTGAGAATATTTTGGAAGAATATAAAGATGTATTTGAAGGTTTAGGAGAAATACGTGATTTTGAGTATGAGTAGAAATTAAAACCCGATTCAAAAGGTACAAGTGTTCCTTGCAGGAACATTCCATTCAAGCTGAGAGATGCATACGAGATCGAGTTGAAAAAAATGAAGACCAATGAGATAATAAGAGAGATAACTGAGCCAACGGAGTTTGAGACCGCGGTAGTGATAGTAAAAAAACCTAGAAACGCACTGAGAGTTTGTTTAGATCCTATTTATTTAAATGAATGCTTATTAAGAGAACATTGTAAACTACCGACGTTTGAGGAAATAGCCTCCAGAGTCAAAGGTGCAACAATTTTTAGTATGTTAGACGCAAGTACACCCTTCTATCAAATCAGATTAGAAGAGAAGAGCTCAAAATTAACAACATTTCAGACACCATTTGGACGTTACTGTTTTAAGAGGTTACCTTATGCTATAAAGACCGCACCTGAAGTTTTCCACAGAGAGTATTCGAGAATATTTGCAGGTATTCGAAACATTGAAGTTTACATAGACGACATTTTAATCTGGGCTAAAGATGTAGAGGAACAGAATAATATATTAAGACAAGTATTGGAACGAGCCAAAGAATATAATGTTAAATTAAATAGAGACAAATGTGTAACGGGATCTAATAGAGTTAAATTCCTTGGCCATATCTTTACAGATAAAGGTATAGAGATTGATGAGGAGAAAGTAAAGGCCATTAAAGAGATGAAAACACCAAAAAGTTCAAAAGACGTCGAGAGACTATTGGGAATGATCAATTATGTTTTAAAGTACATCCCAATGGTATCTGAGTACACAGTACCATTGAGAGAATTAATCAGAAAGAATACAATATTTAACTGGACTCAAATCCACGAGAACGCTTTGAGACAGATTAAAAAATTGCTAACTTCGAGTCCAGTATTACAATTTTATGACGTAAATGTACCTTGTGTAGTAAGTGTAAATGCGAGCAGCACAGGTGTTGGTGCAGTACTATTACAAAATAATTTACCAGTAGCTTATGCATCCAAAGCCTTGACTAAGACACAACAGGCATGGGCGCAAATTGAAAAAGAAATGTATGCAATTGTCTTTGGATGTGAGCGTTTTCGACAATATATACTAGGTAAAGAGGTAACGGTGGAGAGTGACCACAAGCCCCTTATTCCAATATTCAACAAACCAATGAGTGAAATACCAGTAAGACTTCAGAAAATGAGACTGAGATTACAAGGTTGCGATATAAATGTAAAATATAAACAGGGTAAATACTTACACATTGCAGACGCACTGTCTAGAGCACATTTGCTTGACAGTGAAGAGGATGAAAAAGACTTAGAAACACAGATCCTATTCATAAACTACCGTGATTACATGAGCGAGGGTAAATTAGAGAAATTCGTAAGAGAAACGGAGAAGGACAAAAACTTGCAAATAATGAAACATTTTGTACAATTTGGATGGCCAAATCACAACAAAATTCCAAACGAGCTTAAACAATATGGAAAAATGAGTCATGAAATATTTTACATGGAGGGAATCCTTTTCAAAGGAAACCAAATGATTGTACCAGAGACTTTACGTCGAGACATGCTCGACAAACTGCACTACAGTCATCCGGGAATCGAAAAAACTAAAGCTCGGGCACGTGAAATTTTGTTTTGGCCTGGAATGTCTAAAGAAATCGACGAGATGATTAATAACTGTGAAACTTGCTTACATTATAGACGCAGTCATACAAAAGAGCCAATGTTACCTCATGAAGTCCCGGAGGGGCCTTGGATTAAATTAGGTACTGATTTATTTTTTTACAAAGGTGATAACTATTTGATAGTCGTGGACTATTTTTCAAAGTTTGTTGAGATAGAGGTATTGACGAAAACTACCAGTGAGGAAGTTATTAAGAAACTGAAAACAATTTTTTCACGTTTTGGAATTCCAAAAACTTTAATTTCAGACGGTGGCCCACAGTTTAACTCGCGAGAATTTGTGGAATTTACTGAAAAATGGGACTTTAAATATGTAAAATCCTCTCCAGAGTACCCACAAAGCAATGGGTTAGCTGAAAGACACATTCAAACAATCAAAAAGATTTTGAAAAAAGCAGATTTGGATGGGAAAGATCCTTTCCTTGCCTTACTGGAATTTCGAAATACGCCTATCTCGCCTCTTTTGGGCTCACCCAATCAAATACTTCTAAGGAAAAATGTTGCGGGGTTATTGCCAAATACTAATGATAATTATAATCCTCAGTCCAATTATAAACCGAAAAAGATTTTACTTGAAAGACAACAGAACCAGAAAATTTATTACGACAAGAGTGCGAGAACGCTGTCTGAGTTGGAAAGAGGAGAGATGGTAAGAATCAGAGACTTGAAGAAGAAAAGTTATGAGAAATCTGGAGTAGTAATTGAGAGAAATAGAGAACCGAGATCATACAGAGTGCTCACTGATTCAGGCAGGGTTCTTACACGAAATAGAAAATATCTAATAAACAATGCAAACAACTATGAGTTCAAAATCGAACCAGAGGAACATTTGGATGATTACGAGTCAAATGATTTGGAACAATCAGAACAGGTAGAGAGCTTGAGAGAGACGAACGAAAGCGTTCCTCACTTAGGTGCATCACCTGAATCACACACAGAACTTAATTCAGAACCGAGAGTGACTCGTTCAGGACGAACAGTCAAACCACCGAATAGATATGGACATTGGGTGTCGAAGTAGGTTTGCACTTGAACAATACTAGAAAAAACAAAAATTACAATGTGGTAATATTTAATTATAAGTTATCAGAAAAAGAAGGGAGATGTTGTAGGAGTGGTATAGTCAGTTGACACAGGCGCGGTGAAGGGCAGTGACATGGAAGAGGGAGATCGAGTACAAGCCTCGTGTATGCAGAGTTAATAAATATACATGATACTAAGTTAACCAGTGCTTATTAATTAACCTGACACAATAAACATATTACACTTATGACAATCCACTATGCCTCGTGACCCGAATATTTGCAGTATTTGCAAACAGCTCCAAACTGCATTACCGATGTTCTCTTCCCCTCTCCTCGAGGAAGCCTTGTGGAACCCTCGCGAGCGGGATAGTCTCTGGAAAAATGACCAGCCAAGTTGCACCTGTAACAAGTTTTCTCTACCCTCGGCCCATCAAAAATTCTTGGCTTTCCTGATTGCAAGTTCGATGTTTTAGCTAAATCAATAGCTCCAATGACTGATTCATGCAGTGTTTTGAAAGCCCGGGCCCTTACAAGCACCTGTAGTTGTCCACGCAATCCAGTCTCGAAACTTGTTTTTGCTAGCTGTCTAATGGCATCCTCCACTGTTTGTTTCTCAGCTAGTGTCCCCTTGGTTTTCGATAACACGTCCACCAATTCCGCTGTAATACTCTCAGTCCTTGAACCATAGCAGCTTACAGATTCTCCTTCTCGTTGTCTCAAAGTGGATAACTCCATTTGTAATGAATCTATGGATTTTTTCGTACCATACAGAGCCTCCAACTCTGTCTCCAATTGCTCCATTGTTTGGATTTCCTTGTATTTCATATCCCGCATAGTACGATCCGTCAATTAATTGGCTAAAATCAATTTCAATACATACGGGTGATCTCGTTCTCGTACACGTGAAAATACCAACTTGCAATTTCGCAAAAACCCCTCCAGTTTTGTTGGATCGTTACCGTCAAACTCCTTGATCATTTTTAAAGTAACGTTGATGTTGTAATCATCTTCACCAAAATTAGTACATCGCCGATTCCGCAGCCAGGCTCGGTCTTGCCCTCTTTCAGCTCGTTCCGCTGCTTCAGCTCTCGCTTCAACTGCTTCAGCTCTTGCTTCTGATGCTCTGGCCCTCGCTTCTGCGGCTTGTTCCGATGCACGCGCTACGCCAATTTCTTCGTTTCGTCGGTTGATGATTTCTCGCATTTCTTCCGACCCATCTAGTGTTGCATTGAATTGCTGTAACAACCTATTGTATCGCGCGACTAAATCCTCGTAGTCTCTCCTTAACTGATCATGACGTCTCGTTGGTCTTTCAGGTGATACTTTGTTCGCTAATCCATTGACAGCTCTCAAATTCTCGCCTTGGTCATTGCCTCCGTGTCGTCTTTCGAAATTTCTCCGCGTACATTCCATCTCAGCAGTGACGGCGTCTCTTAATCCGTGAGGTGAATTCATATCTACGTCGGATAAACTATCGTCCGAATTAAATGAATAATATCTCCGCAGATTCACTCCAAAATCACCAAGTGCATCTGCCATCCGTTGCTGCCTTACTCGTGGTATATTTTCCCCAGACCAATCCGGACCTGTCAAATTCCGCTTTGCTCTGAAGGTAACTTTTTGCAATATTCCCGCAAGTTCCTCTCCGGCTCCTGGCACCACTGAGTCCAGCGAGTTTGATCAACGTAATGGAAAATTATCTCGACTTACGTGTCCAGATCTACTCTCAAAACTCATTAGCCTTTGCCGTTATTTACTATCCACTCCTCCAAGTAGCCCAGGTATCCCCGAGTCACGTTACAATGATCCACCTAAAACCTGCAATATTGCCTACTAATCCAAGTAGTTTGTTCAATGCTTACTCCTTCAAGTAGCCGCGATATCTACTCCTCCAAGTAGTTCGTTAAATGCTTACTTCTCCGAGTAGCCCAGGTATATCAATGGTATCCTCAAGTTGACCCACTGAAACCCTGCAATCCGAAGTCCATCGGCCGCTTAGCTATTTGCTGACACGTGTTCCCTGACCACGGCACCGTTGGTCAGTCACACCCGAAAAATGCAACGTCGTTCCCTACGTCGACTAGGTTTCAATACTACGTCGCTCCGTACGCAGATTTCACAATTTAATGCGAATGTCACTCAGTACGTCGACTCAAAAATTTACATACCTTATTATTGTAGCCGAATACCGCTGCCACCAAATGTTGTACCCAGCGTGGGGGGTACTTATAAATATAGTAGGTTCTAGGCTTAAAGGGATAAATCCCACCAATGGTTTATCGGCATTTAAATATGAGACTTTATTACATGATTATAATTACTGTATCATCTGACTGATTACAAAGAGTTTACGACTTTTGTGCGCGTCGGAGTCCAATTCAGATCTGTTCTCGGCAGACCCAACCGTCTCTTAAATAATACATTGATTGTTTACATTTCATCACTTGGTCAGCATAATCCAGTTACGCTGGCAAGTGTCACGCTGACAATGCTGTATGTCCACATATTAAACAATAACGCAATTGACCAAATCTGGGGAATAACAAGTAAACGGATACTTGGCAAAAATAATTTTTTTTCTTAATGTGGGAATGATAGTCGGTAGAGGCTTCAGTTCCACTTCATTTGAAACCACTTTGATGTTGCCATGTGGACATGCGTCTTCATATGAATTCCCTGTTTAGGAAAAAATTGCCTCCACATTTGGTTCAACATTTTATATGAAGCAACAACATTGAAAAAGTTAAATACTTAAACACTTTCACTATTGAACACTTTCACTATTCCAAAACGATTGGAAAATGCAATCTGTCTTCAATTCAGTGATTATCAAATAAGTCAGGATTCTTAAGTGCCCCCTCCCTCGCGGTAACGACCAGGTGGATAGTTATATATTCTGAAGTGGAATATTTCGTGAAATAAATCACTTTTTCAAAGATTACTAGTCATAAAATTTTTTTTCTTTGTCATTTACGCATTGTTCCCGGAAACAAATGTTTCGAAAAAAATCACTCGTTTAACGGAGAACGACTGCAAAATAATTATTTTCCTTCAGTAAAAATATCGGTAATTATGTCACCAAGTTACTCCTAAAATTTCAGATGAAAAAAATTAAGTTTTCAAATAATTGCAGAATGAAAAAAAATTGATTTTGCGACAACGGCGCTAGAAATTGAATAAGTTGAGTTCAATTGTGCTCATTTTTAAGCTTTTTCAATTACCTTCCAATGTGTGAAAACCAAAATTCGATTCCTAATGATTAAATGCAATTATTTCGTCTTTTTCTCAAACAATCAAAATTCAAGTGGAAAAAGTAAAATTTTTTGAAAAATCATAACTCGCTGAAAAAAAATCGGCAAGACAATCGAAAACATGACATTTTTGTCATTTCGGATTTGACGTGGAATTGCTCAAAAGCCTTTTTTTTTAGATTTTTTTAGATACAACTGAATCACTGTTTTTGGCACTATATCAATACAACACAAACAGAAACTTGAAATCAAGATAAAAATATTCAATAAACACAAAAGTAATATTTCATGAACACGAAAATCACCTGGTAACCAATGTTTATCAAGTCGAAAGGAATGTGTGTGTCAACTATCAAATTTTTTATCGATTTGTCTTTCATTTGTAAATATTGTAGATCAGCATTTTGTATCGTTGAATAAAAAACAATGGAAAAAAAAAATTCCTTTATGTCGCGCCGTGCAATAAGTCGAGTTTATCGCACGCTGCGCTTCGCGCAGCTTGCTCAAAACTCGACTTCTGCACGACTTGACATAAAATATTATAGAGTACTCGGTAATAAATTTCGTTTTCAACGAATGTGTGTACAGACCTCACCTTCGGCTCGGCCTGTAAACTACACATTCGTTGAAAACGAAATTTGTGCCCTTGTACTCTAATGTACTATTTTGAAAGCAGAGCGATGTTTGAAATTATTGCATGTTCAAATGAAAAAATTTTCAACTTGCGATTTTTTTGGTTCAAACAAATCTTCCTCTCACAATGTATGAAAGATTTCTTTACATGTTTGTCGTGAAATTTTCACACTACTGAAATGGTTCAATGATTAGTAAATGGCAAAACAACTTATGAAAGGTAAAATTGTTAGATAATTATATTTCTATTGTTGTACAGGCAATAAGTTATTTGAGGAGAAAAAGTTTAGGTATAGCACTTTTCTTGACATGTTTTTCTTTCCAACTTATCCGGGTGTATTTCTTTGAAGTGACTTTTTTTGTTTTCAATTTCGACGTGTTTCTTGGGAATTGAAATTTCGATAAAAGAATTGAACCCTATCAGGTAAGGGCGGGGGGGGGGGGGGGGGGGGGGGGGGGGGGGGGTGAGGGGTTGGAGGTTATTTCAGTGCCCAAAAGACACGTCAAAATCCGAAACAAAAAAATTCGTTTCGAAGGAACATACCCAGATAAGTTGGAAAAAAATCGCGCCAAGAAAAGCGCTCTGAGTTATGGGGACTTGAGCTGTTTCATAATTTCCGTACTTAACAACTGCGTTAATTAAAAGTCAATCGGGCTATTTCATAGAATAGTAAAATGATGGGGAAAGAAAATTATGACAGTGATTAGGAAGTGAATAAAAGATTGAATAACGAATTAAAATTTTTATTTATGTTCTTTAATGAGGAAAATGATCTAATTTCGCAAGTAATTTTCCTAGTTCGGTTCATTTTGTATAGTTTCTGAATTTCAATTCATAGGAAATTTTAACCACAAAGTGGAAAAACTATTCGAAGGGACAAGGTGCAAATACGTATTTTGAAACTGGATGCATACTTTAGAAATAAATGTAAACATAATAATATTTTTTGCTGTAAATTGTTGCAGTTACAGAAAACGACTCTTAACATTTGCTCTTTAATTTCTTTTTCCAAATTATCGAGAGATTCCGTTACGCTGAATTCTAATTCCATTCAACTGGTATTAAAAAATTTCAAGTATTGCTTGTTATGATTGATTTGAAATACCAATTT